AGGATTGTCTCAAAATTTTGTAGTTTATAACTAATTCTCAAATCATGTCTCAATTATTAATTCAATTATTTTTCATTATTTTATTCATTCATTTATGTTTTAATCAATAAAAATGCAATTTAAAAACATTTATAATAACTTTTAATATTTAATTGACTTTTTAAACAAAATATATTTACAAAATTAATTATAAACTCTATTAATATATTATCTTTTTTTTGTGATTTAATTAATTATTAAATTACAGATATATTGAACCAAAAACTACAGAATATTCGCAATGCATTAAATGTTGCGCAAAATCTGCAATCAATTGGTTCTGCATTGAAGACCCATTTGATCCGTATCTGAGTCTTCAGATTCAAAGAGATTGGGCACTCGGTATCCCATATTCGCTAACATCAGTTCCAACGGATCCGTATTCATACGTTTCTGGTTAGCCATCGCTGCGTCCTCCGAATTCTCCACTTCTCGATCATCTTTTAGACCATTCTTTGGATCAAATCATTAATTATTTTTAATGCATTCTTACTGCAAGTCATGCATACCTCTGGTCGCGGACTCCAGAGTCTGACCACTTGATCGATACCACTGGTGGCCAATAAACACGAACTCGGATGAGGCTGAAGACAATTCACTATAGAGTCGTCGCCTCTCATTACACGCATAATATTTGTCGTCTCTTTATTCCACACAAAAAAGGATCCGTCGTCTGAACCGGCGATTATGTATTGCCCATCACTGGTGTCCACAAAAACGAGTTTTGATCATTCAATTAGTATTTAACAAATAAATTACTGTGTATTCAATAAAATCTATCAAACCTTCCGAAAAAGTTGGCCTCTTTTATATCAGTAGTTGTGTTGCAATGACCGCAGAATCGCTTCTTGTAATCGTAAGACAGAGATCTCCACTCTTTCTCCTGACTATTGACGGCGTTTGACATATTGTACGTAATGTCATAACCGTTGCCATCAGTCGACAAATGACTGCTTTTATCTGTCTTCGTGTTAATTGCTTTTTGAATGTCTCGATTCAATGAAACGGAAGATTCAGTATTGGATTGTTCGGGAAATTTGGTTTTGAAATTCTCGAAACAATCGGACGCTTCTCTATACCACTCGAGTGATAGAAGGCATCGGACGAGTCGGAAGTGAGCCTTCAAATAGTGGCCATCGATGGCGAGCGCTGTGTAACAGTCCCTGAGGGCGGCGTATGTGTCTCCGTCCCAATTGCGCCGCATGTAAGCCATCGCACGGTTACCGTAGAGGACGGCCGCCCGCGGACACAACGCTATGGCTGTGTTATACAAATTGATGGCTAACTTAAAGTCGCTTTTCTCGAAATTATCGTTCGCTTTGCCTTTGATTTTGTCAATGATTTGCGGTAACGGAGAGCTAAATGCATACAATTTCTTGTAAAACTGAGCCGTTTTCGGAATAAAGTCCGTCGATTGGCAGCCGTTAACACAGTATCCGTTACTGGATGTGCACTCTTTGTGGTAACCATTCCTGTGCGTAGAGTTTGTCATCTCATAGTACTTAGGCTTCGATGGTTTTAACACATCAAACAAATAGATCTGTTCTGAGCCTAAGTTCGTCAACAACTCGTTGCCGTCGGCGCTGAAGGACAGGTACGTCGAGGCGTACGCGCGATACCTCTTTCGGTCGCGACGCCGTAATAAGTGTCCGGCAATGAAGTACTTAACACAACCAGAGGGTAAGTTATCAGGGGATTCGTGATTATCGTCGCTAGCGGTTCCGTATTGGCTTTCCCATGAATAGCGTCTATCGACGCGATTCTGAACAATAAAAGCAATACAAAAATCAATACATGGTTTGAAAGCATTCGCAACAAATCAATACTTGAATGGATTGAAGAGAAATCATTCGTCGGTCGTAGAGGCGAACGAAGGCATCGTTGGCGCCGACGGCTATCAGTTCAGATCTGATCGGATTAATGGCAATGCATTTAACCTCAGCATTGGGTCCGTTATAATCCATTAAATTGATTAACACATTGTTGGAGACCGAAGAGCATCGATGCTTCTCTCGTAAGTCAAACTGAAGTACGAGCCCGTCCTCAGCCGCTGACCAGAATAGGTGCGGCACATTGGGTGCGACCGCCAAACGCTTCACTCGACCCAAATGACAACAACACACGAGTGTTGTCTCCGAACCGGTGATGTCGTGAACTCTGACCCGACAATCGGCAGCACCCGAGCAAACCATATTGTCGTCGGTTTTCGGTATAAATTTGACCGAAAATATGTTTCCCTGATGTCCCGACTGAAGGCTGTGCAACAGTTTGTGTCTAAACGGATCCCATATCATTATCTGCTGGTCGTCGGAACCGCTGGCCAACAGACTAAATGAATTCATTATTGAGTTAATCATCAATATATATATATATATCATGTAAACATATCAAACAATTGGTACATACCTTCCTCTTTGGTTCCATTCAAGACAATTAACACAACCCGAGTGTCCCTTAAGAGTGAACCAAAAAATGAGTTAAAGTGATCTGAGATATACACGTATAGCACAAGTGGTAATCAATGCAAACCTCGAGTTCTTTCTCGAGACCGAGTCGTCTGATAAGACTGTCGTTGACCTGAAGTTTGCGCTCAAATCGGATGCCATTCTTGTGGTCGTATTCTCTCATATGTTTCCAATGAATCACATTATTTGAATCCATTGTATGAATGAGTGGTCACTGATTAGCACTGAATCATTGGTTGGCATTAATCATCAAATCTTGCAATCAATACATAAGTCATACAAACATATCATTTATATATTTCTCAACACTTATTATATTTCAGCGATTTTTCGCACAAAATATCAATAGTTTTTAAAAATCATATTTTCATTGAAATTGTTATTCAAATGAATTGTTTTTGTTTTTTTCGTTTGAAAATCAAATCAATTGATTGTGAAATGAAATGCAATTATAATTGGTTTCGCAAAAACACGACACAAATCACACATTAATATAGTATTGTTAAGCCATTCAACGCTTTAAATACATTGAAATGAATGCATATTTTAATCAAATTTATTAATCATTAGTTGTTTTGTTGATTACATTTGCAATTATTTTGTTAGTTGTAAACAAGTATTAAGTTTTTTAAAGCCAATAATTATATGCAATAAATGATGTGTTTATCGATATATCTATGCGTTTGTATTGAATTAAATTTAACAACAATTTGCACTGAATATGAATTTACATAGATTTATGTTAATTAATTGAATAATCTATTAATTAATTAAAGCATTTAATTAGATATAAATAGTAATTAAAAGTAATAATACATTTAATGAGTGTAAAGATGTGTGACATTTATGGAGACGTAAGTTGTGCTCAAATATGATAAACAAAAACATTTAAAATATCATACTTTCAGTCAATAAAAAGGTGTAAAAAATAAACAAAAATCAAAAATTTTAATGATTTTATTGCAATCAAAAAACTTTAATTTATTTATAATTTTAATTTACATTTAATTTAAATCGAAATTATATTGAATTTTATTGATATCTATTGTGTCCGCAAACCATATATTGATTTTGTGATACATTTTGTATATAAATGTGTTTATAATCCGATTGTCAATCAAAACAGTGTTTTTGTGAATTGCATTCAAATGTGATTTCAATGCAAAATTGATTTACAAATTACTGATTGAATAACTAAAGTGTGAATTGAGTTAAAAGTAGTGTTAAATCAAAAGCCATATTGTGTTGAATATATTGAGCCGATTATGAGATAACGATCGGAGAAGCGATTAATGGGTGGGATGTGTTGGATGTGCCAAAAGTGATGATTCATTGGTTACCATCGATTGAATGCATACATGAATAGTGTGTTTGCATTGAAATGACAACAATGTTGCCGAAGAAGATGAGGAGAAGACAAATGATTCAGTTGTGGTCATTAGTGTTGTTGTGTTCAATACCTATGAGTTTATACATCTATACACAGCTGAGGGACAGGACGTCTCACTCGAAGCACTTCTTGGGCTTCACTGATAGGGAGGCAAAACTGGCCGAAAGGGTCAAAGAAGTGGAACAACAGAATCAGTTCCTGAGGCGACAGTTGAGTATATCGAGGGAGAAGTTGGTGTCCATTATGGCCGACACCGACGGCCAGAACGGCAACAACAAGAACGCCGACAAATCAGATGAAACTGTGAACAAACAGAACCAAAACAATCCACAAATCAATACCAATGATAACTATATCAATAGTAATA